ATCGAAACTAGTTTTTGCTTTTGAACAAATTTCTTTCCTAAAATTCCGATATATTCACGTAACAGAACTTCTAGGTCATCAAATGGAGCAGTCCTGTATATTTAATTCGTCGATTAAGGAAGACTGTCTATTTTGTAATAGTTCCCAGGATCGACTTTCTGTTAACCTCGGCATTGGAATATGAATGTGTCGTTTTCTTGTTCAGCAATCGCGAGGTTTTTAAACAGCATACATTTACTTCCATAAAAAAACTGTCTATTTTACTCAAACTTAGCTCATTCTTCCATAGAAACAGAGTTTGCGTGAACCTCGAATCTCTACAAGTACCACTTACTTCATCTATTTTAAATAGGTCTCGCTGTAAAGTTTATTTTTGGAACTTCTTGTTGCATGGGACGTTCATTATCGTTAACAACATTCGCATCGTCGCTTAGTCAGATAATTCAGACAACTCAGACTCAAGACTAGATTACACGCAAGAAATCAATTTATTAGTTAAAATGCAGATATGTATGAACTGAATTGTAATATCTAATGATTGGTTGAATCGAAAGCCCTATCTAGAATAGAAGTAATTCACCAGAAAGAAAGTTATGCATCCAATAAATAAAACAGATGCTTTTCGCGGTTCAAAAGCAGGTCACATTCATTTCAGATTAAATATAGAACTAGGACTAATAGACTAAAACTATGGATGCTCAGTTTATGCTACTCGACACTTCGTCGCTGTTTGCTGACACTTCCATAACATCGAGTGCTCCAAACACACCGTATGTCGCTGACCGTCCATAACAACTTCTACAAGAGTTTTAGAACTCTATCCAACATACCACTGCCTAATTATTTAAGCACAATTACGCAATTATATACCTCGCATGGAGAAAGGATGAATACTAAATTGCGAAGTCATCATCTGTCACGTCTTGCGAAACCATTCATTATTAGTTTTGAAAAAAAGGAAAAACAAAAACAAACATCTGGTTACTTAAACAATCTATTTTGCTTGCTGATAAATACTTCGAAACGTTAGCCGAATAAAAGTCTTTACACTAGCCCCGGGTCAGAACGATAATCTGTAAAAATATTGGATTAATGACAAAATTTTTGAGTGACTATATATATATACGCAAAACATGAATGGGGGAAAATTTCAGAATATCTGGGTCCTTTAGTTTTTAGACCAACTGTGAAAGGTAAAACACAAAGCATCGGCACTGATCTATTTTCCAGTGGTGTTTCGCACATTAGGCTCTATTATCAGCATTGAAGTGTTCGTATTTAGTCTAAACGGCCTATTTAGCCCAAGGGCACTATTTAGCCTATGCAATGACTTTCGAGAGATACAGAAGTATCAAACGCTGTTTTTAGACAACCAGACAAGTCTGGTACCAAATTTCCGACCTTGGTAAAATAGAATGATTGTTTTAATCAGTGGGCTGGGTTGACCAAAGTCCACGTGTATTGCAGGCACCTCTAACCACTGCGCTAACAGATGAAAAGGCATATCCACCATTTTTGTAAAACAATCTGCAAATAATACAATAATCTGAAAAAACAACGGAACGAAACCAAGAATTCCTAAACACTCTCGCAGTGGATAGTCTTTATAGGGGTCATATTGGAGTTTCTAAACGTAATATTTCTTGCACAGCTTGTACAATTTCACTAAATGCTGACAGCACTGTGATTAGACAGTGGGTGAGTATTTTCTTCTTCATACACAAAAGTTTCGCATGTAGTGAAAATATTGGTGAGTGTACAGAAGAACATGGATCATATATTTGCTAAGAGCAGCGGATTGTATGATCCATTTTCACGTATTGTGCGGCACTTTCAGCACTTCTTTCATTTGGTTACTTCGTTCTCGAGAGGTTGGTAGACCGACCAATCGCGGGATCCATTGCCGTCACGAAAATCACCACCGTCTTGGAAGCTTTCGAGAAAACTTCCTTATGCTCCACATTAGCAACAGCCTGTAGTCACGGCATAAGAATGCACTCCAGAAAACGTTTGTATACCTTAGAAAGCCTTTTCTGAATTACAAAAGTCGGTCCTCCAGAGACTACCTTTTGCAAAAACCAAATGAAACAAGTAGTCGTATACTAAGCCTAAGCAGATGACCTTTGAATACCCAAGTAATCCTTATATGGGCTAATCCCTTGTATTCAGCAGATTTCGGCACTTATTCGGTTTCTATCATGAGCAGTCTCCGGATGACCAACCTTCATGACTTAAAAAGTTTTCTGAAGTATTCTTATACCAATTTCCGTGCCTCGGAGGTATGAAAGCTCTAGTGATTGTTGCTTCACACACCGCTTTGCACCGATACTTCTTACAGCTGTGCTTATCGCTCCTCCGTAATTTGTCTGAATGGTTAAAGGACGAAGCGTCCGTAGTTGATCAATCCTTTAGACATAAACCAAGCATTCTACCCCATTAAACATCTTTATAGGTGACTGAATGCATATCTGGTGAATACAATGACTTGCAGTGCCGTGTCGATGTATATCACGCCAGTGCTGGTATCCTCTTAGACAAGTGTGCACCCGTTTCTCTACTCCAGCGTGAAGAAAGGCTAAATGTGACCGCGGCACGTGATCAAACAGACTTCGTGTGTTTTGCTGGTGAACTCCAACTGTTCCATACTTTTTTTTTCTTTTTATCAACCTAAAGTATATACTTCCTGCGTCGTGATTTCCAACGGAAGGTATTGATTATTGGAATGCAATATGAAAATGATTTATTAAAAGCATATACAGTTTGGTTAACCCTTTGTCGTATGCCTGGTTTTTAAAAGATTTTAAAATCAAAAGTCAATTGAACACTGTTGGAATTACAAAATTATGAGCGCGCTATGCAACATTGATACAGGAAGATTGATAAATAGTAAGGTAGCCATTAGTTCTTCATTCTGCGGTGATCATTGAGAGGCAAACACCTGCGGCAAAATTCCTCTCTGCGGTAGTTCTGACGTATGAATGGTTCAACGAGCCCAGGTTGAGCCTCCGGAGCCGTGTTTGCACATGAACACTCACACAATTGCGCATATGGATCAGGAACAACTGGCGTCATAATCATTACGCGACCTTAAAATAGAAGTAAAAGTTGCACAATTAAAAAACGCAGAAAAATCTTGTTTTCTACAAAACGTTCAAAGACTTGATAATGGCACAGGAGAACTATGAACGTCTTCTAACGGGCGCACCTTTTTTAGTCGATAACATACAAGAGAATTATAGAGACTTTCTGATATGAACAGTGCTTTTACTTTGGATATATCAATGAGTGAGAAAACCAATATGGGATTAATAACCCTAAGAGCAGAGGTTACTGCGATCCATGAAATTGGTTAAGGTGGCATGTGCATAACTTCAGCTATTAATGAAGTCGCAATATGTGCGTGTATGGGACCAAGTAGTGTGTTATCCTGTAGAAAACCTTCAGTACTGTTTATTCTCATTTGTAGTGAAGTTATCAATAGATTTTTCACTCTTTCTAAAAAAGAAAACTTGACATTTTTTGCCTGAATGAGTTCTTGGAACGAACATCATTAAAAATAGGGGCTTGTTCGTTTCTCAAGCCTATGCAAAGAACACCTTCACCAAGACATTCTCCCGCAACTACGTGGCATGCTGCAGATGAGGGAGGCTGAAGGCAACCAAGAGTCTCTTCCGTAATTGGCTCATTAGTAAGTACGTAGGGGAGTTTAACGTCAATTTTATGAAATAATCTAGTCTGTTCCTAAGGACTGTCGTGAATGCGTCACCGAGCCAACTGAGCAATTCTTGTGCGCAGCTGAGACGACGACATATTTTTGAGAAGGAGGTAGAAGCCATACACACTGTTCAGCTCAAAAACGTCTGTTTCTTATACTTTTAACTCATGGTAGAATCCTATCAGGTGTCGCAAAAAATATTACAGTCTAAGGCTATTCCTCTTTCTTTACTGACTTCATTATCAAACAAAACGATTGATCAATTAGAATTAGTTTTGCAGCTTCTTTGTACACGGGGCAGTAAAAAAAAACAGTCGAAAAGAATGCATCTTAGCGAAGGCGTCCTTCCGCTGATACTTTTTGTGTACCCCATTTTTTTCAGTGAATCACCATGACAACAGGCAATAGGACTATTCTCGCCTGCGTGTCGTTATTGTACTAAATGACAATGCGCACCAAATACTTTCTACTCTACAAAGTGAAAATCTTCTAGAGACAATCCTTAAAGAATAGATTCTGAACTTTTGTCAGTCACGAAAAGCGCCATAGTGTTTATCTACACCTCATCAAACTTTTCCCTAATGTTACCAAGGAGTTCTATCACTAACACGAATGGTAAAAAACATGGAGTAAAGTAATGCGATGCTGAAACTCGAGCTATGTTCCAAGAATGGTATGAAAGCGAAATGTCACTTAAAGAATAAATCATTTCGTCAAAACGAAAATCTGTCCTGGTAGTACAACGATAAAACGATGATTCAATAACATTTGCTCAAATGATTAAGCAAACAGGGGTTGACAAGAAGGACAAAGCAGATAAAGATAATATATTCGAAAAGATAAAAATAAAACTATTGACGAGTTGTGCGAACTTCTGAGTTAGCCATTATTTGAGAGCTTACCTTGGGGATTCTGTCGCCGTCGTCTCAGCATCTGAATACAGAAGTAAATTGATAGGAAGCAGAAGAATATGCATATGGGCAGCAAAAGCAAGTAGTTCACTAGCGCCTAAAATTATCATTAATCTTCAAAGCGGTCTATAAAAGATAATAAGAGAGAAACTCTTTTTTCACTCTCACTTATGAATCTATAGTAGCAGAAACTTTTGTTCCTCACCACTCTACATAACTTCTTGCTTAACAAAACATTCAACAAAGGAAAAAGAAACAGCTCAAAGCCATCCAACCCCATTCCACGGCCAGTCGATTTCAGGAAAAACTATAACGCGCATAAATGGTGAATAAATCCCACCATCGGCTTTTATACGCTGGCGATAAGGATAATTTTTCGCTTCTCAGTCACCTTCGTCGGAGTATCGAATTTACATGCTGCTGATAAGGAGGCAGGAATCAACATGTTCAATTCGTGTCATAACGAGATAGTTGGTTTTGGTAGGTGATGCTGCAATGAGCGCCACCATAGATTGTGAGCTTGGTGCCATACTTCCAACGTTTCCCAAATTTTTAAGGTTTACTAGGTGACAAAATTGTCTGCAGACTCTTATAGGTAACAATGACACTTGATTCCGTTAGGCCAGGTCTGGGAACGAGGTGGTACGCCACCTTGTCCATCTTTATCATTTAAATATATTTCTGGAAGCGACTCAATATGGGACATTCTTCAAAAGCAATACTGTAAGCCCAGATTAAGTATTTGGAATGCTTCAATCATGCAATGAATGCAATTGTAGATTGAGTTGATTTCTGCCAAATTTTATTTGAGACATTAAGGTATTACATTGTATGCCTTCAGCTACCTCTCTTTTCTTCCTCATAGACCACTTCCTTCCCAAATTTCTTCTCTTTCACCATCTCAGGGCGAACTTCACCATTTTCTTCCTCATAGACCATTTCCCATACCATATTTACAAAATTATCATTTAAATATATTTTCAACAATGGTTTTCATCTATGGTGCAATACATGCGCTTCTTGTTATACATTGATTTCTGCTGCATTTTTTGACATTACTCATTTGGATACTTGGACGGCCCATCTTCACGAGCTGTGCGGACCCCAGCACATATGCCATTCGTTCCTTTCTCTCGCAGTCGTAGTCTATGGTGGTGGTCTTCTTTGAGCATGGTAGCGTTTGCGAGTGTCATACCGCAAAATGTAATACAATTGCAGCTGCGGGTACAGCTGATTAACTTTGTTTACGAACACGTCCGCCCGAGGTGAAGGTTTTCGTCCAAGGGGACGTTTGCATTCTCTTGGAATCCACTCTAGTGTTTTTTTCGTTAGTCTGTCGTTTATTCTTCTCATTATGTGACCGGCCCATCTATGTTTCGCTGTCGATGTATATTCTCCTGAATCTGGAAGATGTGACAGATTTCGAAGGTCAGAGCTTCGCATTCCGGCTAGATATTGAGAGTGCCGGTCATATTTTAGAAGACATCGCTCAAGCGCTCTGTAAGTAGTGCGAAGCATTCTTGACGTGGTTGAAGTATGTATCAACCCACGTCTTTGCAACATAACAGAGCGCTGAGAGGACCATAGAATCAAAGAGATGAGCGCGTATTTACAGGTCTTTCAATTGGTCAGTGGCTCCTTTGAGAGGCCCGCATGTTGGCCCAAGCTGCTCTCCTTTTTCTATCTAGTTTCTCATTTATGTTGTTTTCCACGTTCATTAATCGCCCGAGTAAAGGTACGAGGTGGTCTCTGCAATGAGAGAGCCATCCAGTTCAATTTTTTCGCCTTCGTACCATTTGTTTTTCATCAACTAGGTCTTCTTTCGATTTATGCGAAGTCCGATCTTTCTCCCTGCTTCGTTGAGCTCGTTGATCATCACCTCTAAGATTTCTAAAAGGATTTTCTTAACATTAATATTTCATTTTTATTCCTTTTTATTTTATATCGATATTTTCATTTTCCTTTTGCCTTTTGCTTCATATCGTCACCTCGTTCTGTATGTCCTCGTGAAAAGGGTACACTTCGCATTTATTGTTATTACTATCACCGCTATACCACGGATCTCCCTCATATAAGCGATCTCGAGCCGGTTAGACGCGAACCTACGTGCCGCGGGCCTGCGTGGCGGATAGGTGGTTCCAGGGGATGGATTTCCTGTTTCTGCTGCACCGATTTGGCGCATACTTTCTGTATTGCCTAGGCGTATTCATCCATGCGTGTGTGGAAGCGTTCTCGCTTATGCCGATTGTATTCCACTGGTTAATTCGGCCGCAAGCCTACAATCAAGTGAGAGGGAAGTATATGGGAGGCAATTAGGAGTCGCCTCCAACAAATCAGCTCCACGTCCACTCTGGGACAGCCTGGCAAGCTACCCGTGAGTCTAGCCAGCACCCACGTTCAAAACTCAGCAGGCTATACGTGGGTATCTCATTCCTATCTCATATCTCATGGCCTCATTACCCTGACCGCGAAAGAGCCACCAATTTTGCAGTGTTGGGTATATCGAGTACGGGAAGACTGCTGAACTCTCAGGACCAATGGAAGCTGCCAGGATTTCAAAAAACTATGGTGACGATCTGTACCTACAATGCACGTACGCTTGCATCCGAGTCCTCGATAGAAGGCTTGCTCATGTAAACAAGAAGGATAAAGTACGACGTCATTGGACTGGCCAAGACGAAACGACATTCAACGCCGTCTACGATACCGGAGAAGAACCGGTCCTCGGAATATGCGATAGCAGAGGAGTCGGCGTTCTCGTCAACACGAGTTTGTCCATGAACATCAATTCCTTTGAACAAATAACAACCCGAATCGGACGTTTACGATTGAAAAGACGTGGATCAATTCCGGCTTTGACAATCTTCGTCGTTTACGCGCCGACATCAAACTATGACAAAGAATAATAATCATTAAAAATAGTTAAATAGTTACGATTAAAAAGACGATTAAAGAAAAGACAAGTCGAAGCGTTCTATATGGACTTGGAAAAGTTTTACAGAGAAGACGACACATTCTTCAAGATCATCATTGGAGATTGTAACGCGAAGGTTGGACCAACAAGAACGTTTGAGGAACGTAACATTGGGACCCACGGAGTAGAATGGAACGAACAGGGTGAGCGGGTATCTGATTTTATCATGGCGACCAAGACAATCCATGGTAACTCGCAATTCCAAAAGCCCCACCCTCATCGCTGGATGTGGGAGTCTCCCAATGGAGTACCATAACGAAATAGACCGCATCATAGAAAATAGGTTTTGCTAACCGATGTCGCTGTTGCCTTAAAATTCTACATGGGATCAGATTATCGTCTCCTTCGTGCAAGGTTCTATTTCTCGCGGAAAGGAGAAAAAGCCGCTAAATTCCAAAACCAAAGCCCTAAAACCACCGCAATCTGGGACTTATTTATTAGTCGGCTGTTGGGAATATGCCGCTGAGGATAACATCGACGAAGAATGCGATGGGGTCATTCAACATCTTCACGTTGGCGCTATGAATGCAGAGAGTTCGAAAGTCCCCAAGAAACGTTTGTCACCAGAAACACTCGAGCTATACGTCAGCGTGGAATCGTACGAGCTAAAGGCAACCACGAACTAACGTGCGAACTTGCAAAACAATGAAGACAGGCGATAAAGGAGATCTTAGAGAGCGATAATGGTCGAAAACGCAGCGGTTGGGAAAAGCATTTGCAGAGTCCACCGAGGCTTCTCCAATTACAAGACCGAGGTGACTGCACTCCGACGCTCAAACAGAACAGTTACAGCGCCCAGAAAGGCAATGGAGAAAGTCATTCACGAATACTGCTCGGATCTCTTCAATAGCCACGTCCACCTTCCGTCATATGAAATAAGGGAGGATGTATATGTTGTGCCACCGGTTCTCCCCTCCGAAAACCAACATGCCATTTCGTCGGTGAACAGTCGAACAGCACCTGGTCCGGACAGTATGAGACCAGAACACCTGAGGAACCTTCCGCCAGTCCTCGTAAACACACTGGCACGGCTCTTCACACGTTACCTGTCTGAATGCAAGGTCCCTACTCAGTGGAAAACCAGCAAGACTGTGATATTGTTCAAGAAGGATGACCTGCACGGTATCGGCAACTATCGACCAATCTGCTTATTGTCTTTCGTCTACAAACTTTCCACTCGAGTCATCCTAAACAGGATTGACAGAACAGTAGACGAAACGAAAGACAACCATGTGAGCAAGCAGGGTTTCGAAGAGGATTTAGTACGATGGACCACATCCACACGGTGATACAGCTCACTGAAGTATCACGAGAGTACAAAAGACCGCTCAGCCTCACTTTAGAATGGGACAATATGAGAGTGAAAATCGGTAGTCGGCAGTTACACCATCTTCGCTTTACAGATGACATCGTCCTTTTAACACCAAACGTTAACCAAGCGATACGTATGCTTGGCGACTTTGATAAAGCTTGTGAAAAGATTGGTCTTTGACTAAATCTCACAGAAACAATGTTCATGAAGAACGGATTGGTTTCGTACGCCCCATTCACGCTTAACGGAACTAATATCTCCGAATCTTCTAGTTATGCCTATCTAGGTTGGGAAATCAGTATGATAAACGACCTAGCTCCAGAGCTAGGCAGAAAAAAACGAGAGGCTTGGCAAGCTTTCAAGAGCATCGAGGATATAGTGAAGAGCACAAAGAACACCCGACTCCGTGCCCACGTTTTCGACTCAACCGTACTTTCTGCCCTAAGTATGCGTCGGAAACCTGATCGCTGCTTAAGCAGGATGAAAACTCACTCAGAGTTATTGAACGCGCAGTCGAAAGGACGATGCTAGGAGTATCCTGTTCCACACAGGGATGGGATCCGAAGCTCCGATCGACGTCGACGATCAAAAATCAAAGACGCCGTTCTGTGCGCCAAACAGTCGAAGATAAGGTGGACCGGACACGTAATGCGTATGAATGACAACCGATGGACATGAGCCGTTAGTTACTGGATTTCTCGGGATGTCAAACGTACTGCAGGAAGACCACCGACCTGATGGTCAGAGTTTTTCACAAGGAACCTTGAAGAAAGATATGATGTTCGACGAGTCCCTAGAGCGAGCAGAACCCACTGGGCTACTCTTTCACGCGACAGGGAAAACTGGAAAAATTACTGGCGCCCGCTCGAGTTACTCGACGATCAACGAGACAACTAGTGACACTACAGGTGATACAGGTGATCATCGCTATGATTGTTATCATTATTACAATTATTGTTGGCTCACGTACAAGTGCACTTATCCTTTTCACAACCATGAAGCACTTTGCACTCATGAATAACTCACAAATTCTACTGTATCCTTGTGGTGCATAAGTAGTCAATGAATATTAGATTGACTATCTTAACCCTTTTATTTACTGCCTTTTTCTTCTTAATGGCAGGGTATGTTGCGAAATATAACTCGTATATAATGCTGAGATATTTGCAAAACTCCGGACCGCAGGTGTTTGCAGTGGAGAACGAACACGCGCTGTTGTCCTTACCGGGGAGCAGCGCACTTCACCACCACACCATCCGGGTCCTTCGTTTTGCCTGTCTCTCAGAAGAAGGCAGTAAATAAAAGGGTTAAGATTGTGATTATAACTAAGCCTCAGCTTAACTGGATTCAATGCCGATTTGGCCCCCCAGATCAATCCCGTTGACGGGTGATTGCTGATGGCAAAAAGATCGATAAAACTAGCTGAGAGACAGGCAAGACGAAGGACCCGGATGGTGTGGTGGTGAAGTGCGCTGCTCCCCGGTAAGGTCAACAGCGCGTGTTCGTTCCCCACTGCATACACCTGCGGTCCGGAGTATTGCAAATATCTCAGCATTTCATACTAGATTGACTGTTATCTAAGACCCATTGCTACTGTAGCACCATTTTACCTAAATATTGGTTGTTGACTTGAATCTGGTCGCCACCCACAGCTGTGTTGGCAGC